GCGACTTACCTAAGGTCCTACCTTCTTATAAATAAGGTTATAGGTATCGAATTACGCGATTTTACGCCTAGAAAGAAAGTAGAATATATTAAATATAATATTAAGAGGAGGAAGAGACCTTAATATACTAGAAATTAGCGTCTATAAGTATAAGATCCTCCTATAATTTAATATTACCTATCGATACTAGTTAAAGAGGACTTATTTATAAGGTTTCCCTATTCTAAAGACCCTTATTTATCCTCGTTAGTAGCTAGGTAGAGGCCCTATTTACTTATCTAATTAAGTACTTTTTTATCTAATAACTAATACTTAATTAATACCGCCGCCGCCGCTATTAGTACTAGTAACGATAATTTACTAGGAGACGGTAAATTAACTAGTAGAGATTCGAGGTCTCCTTAATTCGTAGGAAGCTTATTAATTAGCGGTGGACGCCGTAAACGTAGAGCGTTAAATTACTTATTTTAAGACTCTCTAGCTATAAAGCCTTTTACGCGCGGCGTAACGACGTTATTAAATATAATAGGTACTACTCGACGCGCTAGACCCTCGCCGATAGGGTTATTTAGTAAAGCGTAGTATATACGGACCTATAAATTAACGCGTATTACTTACTAATAAGGTTAACTAGCGATAACGCCGCTAAAATCGATTAATATAGCTATAATAGGAGCGTTATAAGGTATCGTAGTTAATTAATTAAGAGATAGAGTAGTTATTAGATCGCGCGACGATAGAGTAATAACTATTTAATAAAGAAGAGGATACTATAGAGTTTATTAGGCGCGCGCCTCTTTAGGATATTCCTATAAGCCCTAGGGTTATTTCTATAACTCTTCCTCTATCTAAGGTTATTCCTACGAGTCCTCCTCTACTAGAAACCTTAGATTTAGTAATCCTTACTCTTAAGAGGCCTTAGCTACGACGCGAGCCCTCGCTAGAAGGTTCTCCGCTATAGATTATACTAAATAAGCCTACGACGTTAACTACGCTAGTAGTACTTAATAGAGTAAAGAGACGGAGGAACTATACTACTAAATTTAACTAGGGTCGATAATAGGAGTTTATTCCTAAGTCCTAGGAGCGATAGTAAAATAGAGCGGAAGAACCTTAATTCGGAGGCCCTAGAGTAGCATTAACGCTAGGTTTAACGCCGACGAAGCTTTATTAAACCTTAGCCTTATCGACGAGGTCTTACGATGATAGTGTAGTTAATAAATAGATAAATAATGGTAAGATATATAAAATAGGTTAATTTTACGGCTAAATTAGGCCTAGTTTACATTACTTAGTATTCGCTCGTAAACTCATTCGCTCCGCCCGTTCGCTCCTTAGAGTTATTCCCTATATATTCATTACGGTAAGGCTACTAGGAATTCTCGTAGGCTAGAGGATCGAGTAATAAGGGACTCGGACGGTAAAATTACGTCCATACGTAAGCGAGAAGGTACTTCTATCCGCTAAACCGGCTATAAATAGCGCGTTAGAGTAGCTTTTATTAAAGTTAGTAAGGAGGAAGATATCGTAAGGGAGTAAAGAATTACTTAGCTTTTCTCCGCTTATAAGGGTTATTTACTCGTCGATAACTCTTTTACTACTTATCCTACTTATCGACCTCGCCTAGAGAAGTTTTAGGAGGTACTTCTCCGCGTCGTAGCTTACCGTAGAGCTAAAATCGTATACTTAGACTCGCGGAGGATCTTAGAGAGTAAGGAATTCGTCTAGTACCTATCTAGCCGCGAGTTTTATAATATCGTAAGGAACTAGCGACTAGATAAAAGTAATAAGAAGTCGATTCTCGGTCTCCTTACTAAATTAAGTAAGAATAACTAGCTTTACGAGATAAGAAGCGAGGTTTTAAAGGACGATAATAAGGTAATAGGAAGAAAACTCCTTTAGGTTTAGTTTACTTATTCGCGCCTAATAGAGGCAACTATAAGGTTTATTAGCGACTTTATTCTTATTATCGACGGAACTTTTAATATTAATAAGCTTAAAATACTTCTCCTTATCGCCGTCGGCTAGCTAAATAGTAGTAAAACCTTCCTAATCGCCTTCTTCTAGTATCTTAAGGAGGATAAGGCGTCGTACGCCTTTTTTTAGTAATACCTTAAGAGTTATTTATTTTAGAGACCTTTTTAACCCTCCTACGCCTTTCTACGAGTTATTATTAACGATTAAAACGTCGGCCTTACCGCCTCTATTCCTCGGGTATTTCCTAACGTAAAATAATAACTTTACGACTAGTACGCCGTCTAGGTAATAAAGAAAAAGATATATAATTTAGGTACTCCGGCGAGCGATATAAAAGAGATTTATAAGGTAAAATACTAGACTTATATCGCGTTAATAACTAAGGAGGTATTAGAGGCTAACCGACGTAATTTAGGTACCTTCGTAAGTCCTCTCTTAATAAAATACTTATAGAAGACTTAGATTCTAAAGGAGAAAAAGGTAGTCTATCTATATATCTATAAATACGCTAATTTAGGCTCTACGTCTAGCTAAAGGAGTAAGTCGTATTACGATATAATTATTAAGTTAGTTACGGCGTAGTTAATACTTAAGGACTTCGTAAAACGCCTTATAGTAAAGGTTAAGTCGATTATTAAGGATATTCGCTAGGACGAAGTCCTCTCCGCGGCTAGTTACTCGAGACTTACGTAAGTTAGTACCTTTCGCGATATACGACTAAAAGTATTAAAGTACGCTATTTTACGCCTCGAAAGCGAGTAGATAGTACTAACTTTACTACTAAGAGAAGGATAAAGCCTATATAATAACTATTAGTATAAGATCCGACTACGCTACGACCTTACCTATCGCTATTACCTATAGAGAGCCTACGACGAGTATATACCTTTACTAATTATACTAGTATATCCGCGTTAGTAGCTAAATAGACCGAATATTTATTATATAAATTAAGTACCTTCCTACGACCCTCTTCCTCCTTATCCTTAACTAAATCCTATTCTTCTAGATTCGGAGCCTAAGCCCTTAACGGTAGTATAATTAGTAGCGCTTAGGAGTTAATTAATCGTAGAGGAAAGGTATCGATTTAATATCGAATCGGCTCGAATAGAGCGTTAAGTAACGGCCTACTAGGATTTAGTAATAATAAGTCTCTTACGTAGTACCTAAAGAGCCTACTAAATATAATAACTACCGTTTACTTAACTAGATACTCGCCGATAGGGTTATTTTGCTCGCCGTAACGCCTACGAATCCGCTAACTAGCGAGTAATAATTTCTAGTAAGCTAGTAGAGCGCCGGGAGCGTAATAAGTACCTATAATAGCTATAACTAGTACGGTAGTAGGAGACGTAGTAGCGAGAGTAGTTAATAGACGCCGTATTAGACCTTTCCGTAAATAAGTAATTACTATTTTATAAGGGAGAAGATACTATAGAAATTACTAGGCGGAGGACTCCTAATAATATAACTAGTAGCTCTACGAAGCCTATAAGTATCGATAGTCCTCCTAGGGCGTAGGTAACGACGATTCTACCTATCCTTACGCTAGAGAGGCCTCGGCTACGGCGCTCGCCGTTACCGAAGGCGTCTCCTACTATAATTAGGTAGAAGGAGCCTCTAGCGTTAACTACGCTAGTAGTATTTAGTAGGGTAAAGAGACGGCGAAATTATACTACTAAATTTATCGAGGGTCGATAGTAAGGGTTTATCCCTAAGTTATAGGAGCGATAGTAATTTTACGGCCCTTACGGGTCGCTAAATATAACGGAAGAACCTTAATCCGGCGGCCCTACGGTACTATTAATACTAGGGTTAACGCCGACGAGGCTTTATTAAACCTTAGCCTCGTCGACGGTGACTTATAACGATAGTAATGTTAGGTGCGGTAATTGGATGTAGATGAGAATAGGTTACTAGTAAATTTAGTAGGTAAAAGATTGCTTAGTATGTATAGCTCTTGCCGTATATAGGGCTTATATATATGCCCCGAATAGCTCCCTGCTCCACTAAGGTCATTAATCACTGCCTATGCTTTCTATGGCAGGATAAAGCCCTAGTAATAGGTATAACGACTGCCTTTTCTATGCGACAAGGCCCTGAGGACTACGTGGTTAAGGAACGTAAGAGGCCGTCGAATAACGCCGTTGCCGCACCCGTTTTTGGCTTGTCACCGACTAAAGCGTTACCAATTGTCTTAGCAATTCCTAAGGCAATTGACGCCTATAACAATAATCACAACTTAGTTGACGTGGCGGACCAATTACGTGGGAGCTTCACTTGCCAGCGAACTAGGGAAAAGCGAACTTGGCGTCCACTTGCCTGCTGGCTAATTGATGTTTGCTTAACAAATTCCTTTGGCGATCTCTGCAAGCCAGTGAATGCTTTACGGGATCATCAATCCCTCCCACAGAGACTTCCGTGACAGGCTCATACAACAAATCTTCCACTACAAGGACCCTAAACCAACACCCCCTCTGTCACCTCATAGGACTCGCTCTACAAGGATTCACGTACCTACAAAGATGCCTAGACGTCGTTATTGCGCCTACAGTGTACGCAAAGGCGGTGACTGCCGGCGTGGTGTTGCTACAAGTAATATAAAACCTCGTTCAGTCCTAGGGGAGGTTTCCGGCAATGCTCCGCCGCGGACCCCTACAACTCGGTCGAAAAAGGTCGGAACTGGATGCAAGCAGTGCTAGGTAAATCTATGTGTCAAGAAGGGTTGTTTTGCAAAGTTTCATGCAAATCTACATAGTAATTAGATAGTAGGAGGCATTTAAATTCATAAGGATGCCCTAAATGCATTACTTTTTGATGGGGTAAAAAGTGCCAAGACAAAAAAGGCACACCCTGCCGGCGCAGGGAATAATCGTCTGCTCTCGAATATGCTTTAACTATGGATGTCCTGAGGAAGTTTTATCTCGTTCTCGACATACTTTGCTCCTTGATCCACATCGCATAAACCCTGAGAACGGACATAACTTTCTCGGCATATGTATCAGTCCCTGATTAACCCGTGATCGCAAGAGCCAAATGAAGCTGAACGACAGTATCTCGATGCTGGCCTAGTTAGAACCAAAGGCACACTGTTCCTCCTTCCTCCCTCAACGGACGTTTTACGCAGGACATTCAATTCTCCTCCCCGCCCCATAACACGGATGTTGTCAGGCACAATTGCACTCTGCAAACATTTCGAACGTGGAGGTGCATCTTCCGAGCACGGCCGACATCACCCTCTTTGGACCCTGCCCACTGGGAGTGATGAGAAGAAAATAAACACTACTGGTTAAACATTGGAATCCATGTTAGCGCAGGCGGTCTGGAAGAATGTCATGCTGCTGCACCACGGAGTGGCTGTTTATGAGATTAGGCCTTGGGTCGTAATAAGAGGCAATGGCGAAGAAAGACATATCTCTCCATTCATTCGGATTATTCACATGTTAGAATTCAAGGAGCAAGCGAATTGCACACCTTTCCGAGGTCCATACCCCGTATTACACGCTGACGTGCTTATGCCGTTTATCCTTTTGGACCTCTAAAGCCTTACCTCAGAAGATGATCTATGAGTGCCTTCAAATGTAATCACTCTGTCGTTGGGTATTCCAAGTAACTATACCTCTAGAGATTGCCACCCTCTGTCGTGATTCCACTGGTTTTGCATCTTGTTTACACCTTGTTATCGAATACCTCGCCGTGATGACGTGAGACGAGCTACTCTATTAAAGACTTCACATTAACAGCCATTTCCAGCACCTATCGGAACTTCTATAATAGAAGTAAATTTCTAGGCTACGCGATATTTATTGTGAAGGATAAACACTAGAAACTCTATATAAGATAAGCGACGGCGAAATTATATACTCGATACTAGATTCTCAGGAATTATATGTTGGATAGTAATTGAGCGGTATTATCAAGTGGAACCAACGAGAAGACCAAAGTTGGGCATTGGTTGAAAACAACGAATCTACCTAGCTATGTGAGTTGTGACTACTCGACATTCGATGGGCTATTCGTCTAGTTCATGGTGAAGTCCGGCCATAATCTCTCACCGTTTAACAGTTAGGAATTTCTCTAGATTGGGGCGTCGAGGCTTTCACACCCGGTGGTGAGCGACGAGTACCAAAATAAAGCTCATCCCGATAGGAATCTGACATGGGTTCTCGTTTGGCCTCTAGTGAAGACACCACTACAGAGGCTCTGGAACACAAGCATTATAAGTAGACGTTGTCTCGACGCCTATTGGAGCCTGTATGGATAGGTTTGGTGCCTAGACTAGAACAGGTATAAATCTCTCAACTCCTCGTAGTAGGAAGAGAGAAAAAGGAATCGCGGATCTGATCCCCATTTCCGACCCTATAGGTCGACAGCACTCAATCAGCCCCAAAATACCAACAGATAGTGTCTATATCACTTGACAGTAGGCAGTGACTGAAAGATCTACCAAATTATAAGGCTATCAACATCATAAAAGGATTACAAAAGATCGTAATGCGTAGCATCCCTACAAAAATGTTACGCATGAATTAAAAGGTCGAATCGACCAACAGCCTCATTGAATCTTCCTATCCAAAACAGGTCGTGATTTACAAAGAGTTTTGGGTCCGGACTTCAGTTGTGGCGTTGACCGTATCTTGGTTTTGAATGAGGTTGCTGAGGCTCGTCTCGAGCATAAAGTCAGAGCCTCCAAACAGAGAAGTCTGCACTGGCGGAGGGTAAACCGTTCTTAAATCGACAAACCCAAAGATGGAAGTGGGATCATCCAAATCCGCGAGATTAAGCGGTGGCTGACTCATGTGGCTGGAAAGTCCTGGAGTAAGGCAATCATTCACTGAAACTCTAGCATTGTTGACTGGAAATGTGCTATCCGCTCGAGCATCAGCCATACGAGACACAACTATCGTTTCTGGATCCTGTTCAGCAGGTTGAAAGCACCAAGTCATTTCTGGAAATAGGCGGACTAAGTCGTCCTTGACATGAAAATTTTTCAAATCTCTAATGGCATTGGCGTACATTGGGTCGAGATCTATGCCAGATCCGTCAGCGGCAAGAACAAGGGACGCCGTGATTGAACTGCGATCAATGCTGCAAAGTTTCAAGCAACGGACGAAGGCGACGCAACAAGCTCGTATATTGTGGCATTGCCACCCTGTAAGGAGATAACTTCGCAAGTTAGGCCTACAAACATTTGCATCAGCATCCGCTGCTGCATATACGGGAAGAGCCAAGGATTTCTTCCTACCACATAATAAGGTCGATAAAACCGGGATGACTAAACGTCAATTGTGCTTTGCTTGGTCGCATCCATATGGGCGTTTTGTCCAGATTCTCTTCACTGGGGAAGGTCAGAAGCTGGTAACATGTTAGCACTAGATTGGCAACAAAGCACAGGATCATCTAACTATGAAGAGACGGTATAGGCCCCAAAATTGTGCGTGACACTCCAGACGAGAGGCGAAGAGAGTGCGCCAGCGGATAATGATTTCGTATGCACATAAGAGAATTGCACGTCGTTGACGTTCCATTTCAGAGCAATATACAGACTCGTAGTCGACAGCGTCCGGCGCGAAGGGAGAGATGTACTCTCCCGTTTCATTCAATTCTTCTAGAATGATCTCATAAAAGTCTTTGCGTTTTACGACATCCATAACTCGCTCTAGACGCTCGTGGTTAGAATCGAGTCACAAGTTAGAGGCCTTGGGTGTTCGTACTTGTGGTTAGCATCAACGGCTCCCTGTCAAGACCCAGGCTGGAAAGAAGAAACTCGAAGCCTATTCCATGCTGTGTAGTGAGTTTCCACGACATGATTGAGTCTATTAGCTCTCTTGCTGAAAGAGCATCCGATTCTAGTGTTGATGACTCCAATCTTCCTATGCGGTAAAAAATCATATTAGTGATAAATGGAAGTTTATGGGAGAACGCGTTTAGATAGTCCTCTAGTGCTTTAAGAGTAATGGCGATTGTAGCTTCGTCCTTGTAGCTGCGACTACTTTTGGCGCTGGCCAATTTGTCCGCTGCCTCAGCTTCATCCATACAGTCACTGCTCAGCTGTTGGATTGAAAACATTTTGGTTTTGTAATCGTTTAGCTTGCTTCGTAGTTCATCATTCTCTTTCATGAGGCGATCAATGATGACGTTGCCTTGGGCTTGCGTCAGTAACTCAACCATGTCAGTCAGGTCGGCTACTGTCTTTTTCAACTGGTTTCGCGTTCTTCTTTGACCAACGCGATCAACATGCCTTTTTCGCTCCAACTGTCTCTCCGTGAAGCGATCTTTCCATTCGCCAGTGCTGTTGCGACTCATTGTATATACGATGCGGAATGTTGAGTTCTCGATGAGGTTGGCGTTGAAGCCGTCGAAAGTGATGGAAAATGTGAAGCTACGAGAAAATATAGCTATAAGAGATACCTTGCCAGAAATTATCTAGGCGACGCCGGCGAAACAAACGGAGATCTAGGCAAGCTAGGGCAAGCTAGGGTAAGCTTCCCCGCAGACTATATAAACTAAGGGGAATTACGGACTACTTAATCTAGAGTTACGTAAAACTCGGGAACTAAGTCTGGGCACTACGTAATAAAACACCCTAGTAATGAAACAGCAGTCTTTTTTGCCACCACAGTAATACAATCGTGATTTACTAATTATATAGACTCATTAGCACTGAATTGATGTATGAATGGTGCCAGGGCGTCATTTAACTACCTATTCCGCGTAGTATTTGTAGTATTTGATCGTATAGAAGACCTCGTCGTCGCCTCTAATGCCTCTATACCCTCCCTTGCCTACCTAATCGTCTCGATATTTACAAAGACCTCATTATAGTTAATTATAATACGCGGTTATCTCCTAGTAACTAGCTTATCTAGTTACGTATATTGAATAGTAAGTTACTACGATTTTAGGGTAATATCCTACTGTAGTTAATCTAATGCCTTGCCGGTTTTTTAAAGTAGTAAACGGACTAATCGAGAAATAGTCTTACGTCGTGAAATTAACTCCGTTTCCTATCGAATTTAGCGTCGAGTAAGCGGCGTACAAATCTCTATTAATAGATATTAACTTTATTTACGTAACGATAGTATAGTTAGTAGTATTTAACGATTTTAATTATTCTATAGGACTTAATAAGATCGAATAACTTTACGAGGGTCCTATAGGTAGATACTAGCTATATTCCATTCCGTACGAATACGATATAATAAGCCCTTATTACTTACTTTTTTATACGTTTTAAGAAATCTACTCTTCTTTACGGCCGAGGCGTCGTCGTACCTTACTAAGTTAGCGATTTTATCCCTATAGCGATATTTTAGGAGTAAAAAGTAAGCAAGATTAAGTAGCTAGAGAATATAACTTAAATAAAGTATTAAATAGACTAGTACTACTCGATTTATATAATATTTCTATATAAACTCGTGCGTAGTATAACTTTTATACCTATCGAGAAGAAGAAGTCGATACTTATTCGTTACCGTTTAAGGGATAAATATTTAACGTAACTAGGCTAATTATAAGGGTTTAGCTAGGAATTTAAAGTAATTCGTCTAACTACCGTATAACGAGGATTCTAAAGCTAAGGAGGGAAAAGAAAAGAGAAAATCTAACTACTATACGAATAAAGGAAATACTCCCTATCCTCTCCTATAGTAGGTTAGTATAGTTTCCTAGGAGATAATCGATAGGGAGGAGTTACGTAGCTTCGGCTATATAGTTATACAGCCTAAAGGTGCACTACGAATAATCGCTCTAGGGCGTACTCTAGAGCTTTATACGGATTTAACCCGTAACACTAATCTAATATTATTTAAGGTCTAGCCGTTTAGTAAGACTATATATAAGTAGTCTAGGATCTTAGGGTCGGTAAACTAAGTCGACTAAAGAGTATTTCCTTTAAATATAATAAGATATCGTAGTCGACGACTATTTACGAATATAGTCTCGATAATTAAGACCTACGTCTATATTTTAGACCGAGTAGCCTAGTAAGTCCTAGTATTATAATCCGAGCTATAAGTAGTTCTAACTAAGGTAGGGTTTCTTAATAGAGTAGGTACTAGAGTATTAACTAAGATAATAAAGAGAATACTAAATCGTTAGACTATATTCTAAAATATAGGTATAGGATTACTAACGAATTTAACTACGATCTATCTCTACGAGGATAGTAAACGTATATATATAGTACTAGTAGCTCTCCTAGATCTTATAGCTCTCCCTAGATCTCTTAAGATCTACGAGATCTAAGGGATCTAGGAGATCTAGCCTTATTCGGTTACGTAATATAGCTTCGTTCTCTATCGGCTAACTTCTCCCCTTAGGCGGGTGCCTTGATTCCCTTGGTAATTCTTTAAGTAACCTAGTTCGTAACACTACTAAGATAACATTAACTTAATAGAGTCCTACGTTAGGGTTAAAGAGTACATAGCCTCTCTATAAATAGTCCTACTAGTTAAACTCGCCTAAGTATTAGGCAATAGGTCCGTAAGCCCTTAAGGATCGCTTATAAAGACTAGAATCTCGTACGAAGTACGAGGTATTCTCGGACCTATTAGTTATATACTTACTAGGAAGCCTCTTAGGGTATTCCTAATACTAAGATACTTTAATAAGGTATAACTACTTTCTCGATTACTATATTTTAGTCTATAGAAAATACTGAATTATCGATCTAATATTATACCGAGTATAGAGTAGCATTAATCTACCTACCGATTTCTTAGCTCATTAGGCTCTTTAGTCTATTAATCGTACGAATCCTAATTCTCGGGTTTCGTAGATAGTTCGAAAGACGTTCGAGATGTCGTTAGCGTCACCCGTATTGCGGCGTATATATCGCTTCCACTAAATAGCCTAAATTCCCGTCCGAATTAGGGTGCTAATTAGGAGTACTAGTCAGGGATACAAGTTAAGTTACTCTTAGCTAGCGATCTTAGCTGGCACTCCTCACTAGCACTCTTAAATAACACCCTTAAATAATACCGTTAGCTAGTACCCTTAATTGGTACCCTTAATTAGTACCCTTAATTAGTATCCATAACTAAAGTACTTAACTAGAGTACTACCGCTATTAAGTGCCTAAAAGCGACGCTGAAAGGGTAGATTCTTAATAGCCTAATAATTTTATAGAAATTTTCGTAGGAATTTTGCTAATTTACCGATAGAGAGATATATACCTCCGTAGATAGGATAGAACTAGGCATCGAGCACTCCTTATTTAAATCGAGCTCTCTAGTAGACTAAATTATACGGGCCTTAATATTAAAACCACAATAGCCGGGGACCCATATCGACTCATCTTCTCTTTATTGGGAGGACTTCAAGTACTCCGTGGCGCCGCCTCAGCACTATGTACAAAGACTATTATGTATCTGCTTAAATAAAAGAGGCGTAGATTAAGAGTAGCGAATAGCGACTCACTCGAAAGCTACTTCCCTTTGCTAATTGGGCAACTAGGTTGTTCGACACTCTCGCGAGCACACGGTCAGATATGCCACCTTTTCCATATTGTATTTAGTCGAATGCAATTGAATGACTTGTAAGATCTATCCTTATTTCAAAGGACTCTTTCCTAAGTAAAGGCATCTAGATATATTTCTATTTCTTGGAAGTTATTCTTCGCACAGGAACAAAGCTATGACATCGCTTAAGGATAAAGTTGTAAGTTATCTTTACTTCCGTTGTTTCTTCTTGCATCCACCATTGCCTATATTCACATATTGTCTTAGATCGCTATTACTGGAGCCGCCTCCGGGATGGGACTGGCTACCGCTCGCATGCTCGCTTCTCGAGGCGCGATTCTCTCTCTCGCTGACGCAAACGCCGCGGGCTTGGAAGTGGCGCTCATATCGCTCCCCGGCGGCCAGGAAAAGCATATGACGACCACTCTCGATGTTCGCTCTACTTCCGCTGTCAAGTCGTGGATCGATGCCACAGTCGAGAGATTTGGAATACTTGATGGAGCAGCAAATATCGCCGGCGTACTGGGTGATGCAGTCCCCATACGTGAATCTACCGAGGACCAGTGGGACTTCGTCATGGGGGTGAACGCCAAGGGTATATATAACTGTCTTCGTGCCCAACTCAACAACATCAAGGAAGGTGGTAGTATCGTCAACTTTGCAAGCGTTGCCTCGCTGGTTGCGGTGCAGTCACAGGCCCCGTATGTGGCGAGCAAACACGCCGTGCTCGGCTTGACAAAGACTGCGGCTCGCGAGGAGGGGTCGAGAGGAGTAAGAATCAATTGCGTGGCACCAGGTAATTTTTTCCTTATCTGATATCATGGGGCAAACTTTTCCATGAATCAAGCAATGTTGCTAACATCTTCTCCTCTTACCCTAGGTGCTATCAAAACACCCATTATGAAGGATATTGAGGAAGAGGAACTCCACAGAAGGACTGCCAAGTATCAGTGTTTTGACCGCATCGCAGATCCAGATGAAGTTGCTCATCTGGTACTATTTTTGTTGAGTGATGAAACGAAATTTATAACGGCCGCCTGCTATGAAATCTCTGGAGGTTGGACTGCTTAAATAGTCAGATGACTTCGAATAACAATGCCAAGCACAACGTGAGGCCCGATGTCTCAGCTCAGCAATCTCATGTTCCTTAGTTCACTTATATGCGTAGCACAGGACTTGCGCTAGTCATTTCGTTGTAAAGAAGAGGAATTGGGAAGAGCCTGCCTGGTCCTTTAGCAGCTCCTACGGTGACTTCACCGATCAGTCTTGTTGTAGATTACTGCAGTGGAAGCATTAATTTATTGTTATCCTACTTCTTGAGGAGGTAGAAGTATATAAACACTAAGGTATAATAATGGAAGCTTCCGTACAATTTCAAAGCAGGCGGAATCATTCCATCAGGCTTTCGCCAATGTTCTGATAGTTGGTTGAGCCTCATATCACAACAAGCCTAAGTTACTTCTTGAATAGTAAAATTTATTTACTACAATGGATGAATAGATCACAAGTTCACAAATCTCTCGAGTGGCAGAGGAACCAGGGGCGGTAGGAAGCCCGCTGAACTTGTCTTCGCTGGTCTTTCCATTGGACCTCTCCTGTTTCAAAGCAGTGGATGAAAGCTCGCAGCAAAGATCCTATTGAACTTGGCCTTCCATAGGGATATTGAACGCGAGGGAAGTGGCCGCAATGACACCTCCATGGATACAATCAAATCACTTGGAGGTAATGTAAAGATCTAGAGTACCGGGACTAGATGCCAGCCTACCACATAGAATGTCCGCTCAACGATATCAACCTCTGTCCAATTTATGTGATTTCAGATCTGTCTGATGTGACATCCATGTTTGTCATAGTGTCCCAGTCGAAACTCTCTGCTACCGCTACATCCTCTAACCCGGGCATACATTGAAGCATGTTGCGAAACACTGGGATGAGTGGTCAAGCTGCGCTGGAAGTGGATGCCCTCGCAAAATTCCAGTATCAAAAAGGGAACTGTTAGGGGCTTTCTGATGAGAAGCAATCGATAGAGATAACAACACTGTTGCGTTCAGACCTGGATGTAGCTATCCACATAGACTCAACGTCTTGAAGAGACGTTGAAAGCTATCTGCTGGCACAGCCCCCTGTCTGTGTGCAGAATGCCAAGAGACTTGGCATTGCATCTGTTCAGACAGCCTCATTAGAGAGGCCTAACATGAAGTATCTGTGAAGGAGAAATGACAGACTCAAGTCGTTCATAGACGCTAACATCTTTCGAGTCTTTGATACTAGTGGTACACATTCTTTTGTGCTTGAGTATCATTTTCTAGGAAGACTTCAATTCGATTATTCATCTTTGGCCCAATGTCCTCCAAGAAGAAACAAGCAATAATTGCGACGCTGCCAAAACCGATTGACGAAAATGCAACTTTCCTATATTTTATGTCAGTATGCCTGAATATATAAACTTCGGCACGAATTCATACTTGACGCCTTCCACCCAGCTCTGGACGAATGCTGAACCGGCCGCTTCAGCTATGGCTGGAGTCAACCCTGGTATTTTCTCTAGAGCGGCAGCTCCCATGGGAAGGGCAGCGAGGACAGCGTTGGCAGTGTCAGCAGAGGCACCTGCTGCCTCTGCTGCCGCAACGACATGAGTATTTGCGTAACTGGTCTGAGCCGTCAACATTATGGTCGAAAACGTTGTGACTGCGACTGCACCGCCTGCATATCTGGCAACGCCAGCAAGTCCACCCGCAATACCAAGCTCTGTCTGCTCTGCGCCAAATTGAACCCACGTAATAGACAAGTACTGGGAATACCCGTAGAACGTCGAACACAAAAAAGCAAAACAAATTCCCAGATCCTGCCTTTCTGGCGTTACGTAGGCAGCCATAGCACCGAAGAAGGTCATGAGAGTGATAGGGATACCCATCTGCCATCTCCAGTGCCCAATATACTTCCCTAGGAGGGCCAAGAGCGCTCCTCCAGCCATCGTTCCAAAACCCTGAACCGTGGACAGCCAGTTAATAGTAGACCGTGGAGTAGATGTGTTCGTGAAGTATACACTGATCATAGTCGGCCACGTATAGTTAGTTGCGTAGTAAAACATACAAGCGATGAAGCTGCAGATGAAAGGAGCGGTTAGGGTCCGACCTTTATTTGCGGTAAATAGTCTTGTTGGTGTGAGGGGTTCTTTAAGTTTTTTGTTGAAGGTCTCCCAAAGCGCAAAAATTATCAATGATGTGAATCCGGCCACAAGTAGTCCGACAACTATAGGTGAATTTGCGGGCCGCAGTTGCACATAGACGATACCGCATACGATCATTGACGCAGCGGCAATGAAGCTAACCATGCCGACGTAATCAAGGTCTCGAAGAGCTCGATCCCAAGGGATGCCTCTAGGGTGCTTCGGTGGGAAGTATACTAAATTCAGATTAGGGCGATTAGTTACCTAAATATGTGAGGTGAGTAGTTCAGAAACTCTGTCCGTCTTGTCAGTATGGTCCATGCGAACACACAATATACCGCTCGTAGACTAACCACAGGATAGAAGAAGTACAAATGAGATGCCTTGGGATATGGTCACACCCCAGTAGCCCCATCTCCACTAGAACTCTGTCAGCATACGCTTGTATCAAAATGTGTGTATGCATGCCATACCGCATTATTCGCAAATGCAATACGCGATACAACAGGGCCCATGATAAGATCGACATAGATACCGGCGTCAGCTATAACAACCCCGATATGTCTCCACTTGTTAGGTAATAGCTCTGGCAGCGCAAATGCCGCTATCTGGCAGTTGCCTCCTCCGAATCCGAGAAAAGCCTGGGCAGCAATGATCTGTCTAAGTGAGTGAGCTGTTCCCCCGAGGATCGATCCGATCAACACAAGGACGTTGCCACCCAAGATAAACGCTCTACGGCCGAATAGGTCGCTGTTAGCGCCGCAAACCATGAATGCGATTGTACCACTTAAGCTATATGCAGCTGTGACCCAAGCTCCCTCGGCTGCTCGCTCGCCCAATTCAACTGCCATTTGAGATTGAATTATGCTAAAAAACGAGACAGGCCAGAACGAGATTCCATAAGACATTGCAAGAACCTGCAAGAACGGTCAAAAGTCGTTCAAGATTCCGTGGGAAGACTTGTCCTACCACAACAACGACCCATGTCTTGAGAGTCACCGTATCATCCCCGCGTAGCTCGGGGTCGCTATACTCAATCTCCACTTTTGGATTCTTCTCGAGATCAGATGTCTTGTCATCAGGATTATGACTGCTTGTGGATGGAGAGGACACTAGCGCAGGCCCAAATTCACGATGATCGCGTTCGGTCTCTTTGATCTCTTCCATGACGCGATGATAGTGCAAGGAGATAAAAATTCGGTGATGGAAAGTAGAAAATTTGGTGATCGGACCTAAGACAGGTCGAAGGCCGACAATAATGCTTAGGCTTTCACTGATGAGGGAAATATATCGTCGCCCTGATCGGTCACTTAATATGTACTGTAACAGTCCCCACTGGCGAATGTAAATGTATGCGTCGAATAATCAGATGTTCACGGATAATATGGTTTTCATATCCCATGAAACCGGGATGTTGTGGTTTTCACATCCCCATGAACCCCGGATGTTGTGGTTTTCGCATCCCCATGCACCCCGGATATTGTGGTGGACATATTGCGAATCCGAGTCCGTACTCTACGATGCACATAAGAATTTAGATGATGTGCGGAGAGGTTAAAGAAGACAATCCTTCGCCAAGTAGAGCGCACTCCGGTACGCATTGAGATCTGTGGGAGGAATTTGATATAACTCTGCGCGTCCCGACCCCGGGTATTGTGGTTTATCCTTTTCCCCACCATCTTGGCCATCCATCGAAACCGTTTGCTGCAATATGGAGATTCGCAATATAACAATAATCGTCTACGAGGTTTCTAAGCATCCAAGACATAGAGCATGAGCAGACAAAGCGCGTGATGCCATTATCAACTACCGATGTTGTTATAATAGGTGCAGGGCCTGTAGGTCTTGTACTCGCAAACTACCTTGGAATATGTGGAGTACACATTCTGGTGATCGAGAAGCTTGATAAGATCATCGACTACCCAAGGGCTATCGGCATAGATGACGAATCGCTTCGTTTGATCCAATCTATTTCACTCATTGAAAACGTGCTTCCACATACGACACCAAACCATTCACTGAGATTCCTGACCGCTCGAGGACGCTGCTTTGCCGATTTCCAGCCAACTACCTTGGACTTTGGGTGGCCTCGTCGCAATGCATTTGTACAGCCTGAAGTTGATCAAGTCCTTTTCAAAGGTTTAAATAAGCTTCCCAATGTGGAGGTACTCTTTTCTCATACACTGGTGTCTGTGGATCAGGATGAGAAGGGTGTCACAGTGGTCACGGACAAGGAAAGCTTTCGCGCAAAATACCTCATCGGATCCGACGGGGGTAGCAGCTTTGTGCGGAAGCATTTGAATATCTCTTTCGAGGGTACGACATCCCCAGATAAATGGATAGTCGTCGATATTCGCAACGATCCACTAGGCCTGCCCAATGTCTATGTTTGCTGCGACCCTATGCGTCCTTATGTTTCTGCTGCATTACCTCACTCGATTCGTAGATTCGAATTTATGGTAATGAGTGACGAGACAGAAGAGCAACTGAGTGAACCGCAGAATATGAGAAAACTTTTAGCAAAAGTTCTACCTAACCCTGACAATATCGAGGTCATTCGCCGTCGGGTTTATACTCATAATGCGAGATTAGCAAGTCAATATCGCCATGGTCGTGTCTTACTTGCTGGGGATGCCGCTCACGTCATGCCAGTCTGGCAGGGCCAAGGATACAACAGCGGTCTTAGAGACGCTTTCAACCTTGGCTGGAAGCTTACTCGAGTCATTAAAGGGACTTTGGATCCAGCGGTCTTGGACACCTATGAAAAGGAACGTCGGAGCCATACAAAAGCAATGATCGATCTTTCTGTACTCACGGGCCAAATATTCGTCCCGCCATACCGTTGGCTGAGTTGGCTCAGAGATGCGCTTACTTGGTGCTTATCTTATCTACCTCAAGCAAAGCAATACTTTTTGGAAATGAGGTTTAAGCCAATGCCACGATATGCGGAAGGGGCAGCGATTGTCCCTGAGAAGGACCCTCGTTCTCCGGTTGGCACAATGTTTATTCAACCATTTATATTCAGAGATGACGACTTCGAGAAGGAACACCGGCTAGATGACATTATTGGACACAACAACTTCGCATTGCTTTCCTGGGGAAGTGACCCAATCTGGGGTCTGACTGCCGCGCAGATAGCTGCTTGGAGGCGGCTAGGAACTACACTTATTCAGGTACTACCGTCATGCCAAATGATGAACCCCCAAGCATCCTCTGAAAGAGAAAATCATATTGTTCGGATTGGTGATAGCAAGGATGGGCTGCTGAAGAAGTGGTTTGGCAGTTATCCTTGTTCAATTGCCATTATACGACCTGATCGTGTTGTTGGAGCTTTAGCTATTCCACAAACGATAGGGGATGTTTCTGACCGGTTTTTCGATGCAATTGGCCTGGCAGTTGAAGAGTGAATTACAGCGATAGACTCTGATAAAGGAGCCCCTGAGCCTGGCTCAATGAATCCGATAGCCACTATTTCATGCCACTATTTCATCTTCCAGCAGCGCCAAGCCCCCCTCCTCCTCGCCGGCATCTGGTTCCTTGTGGTTTATACGGCATTCTGCATGGTATCGGTGCATATGACTCCCGGATCGAAGTAATCAGAAAGGAAGGATAATAGAATTGGAAGATCAAATAAAGAGAGGACTGTTGTGCTGCTGAAGTTGGAAGTATCACGGCTCAACTGCAAAATAAACATCTGGGATCTTGGATCCTTAGCTGGATGCGACAATTTGGCTTACATAGACTTCAGTCCGCAAACCTGAACGCAAAGTCTTGCAGTTCACAGAGGTATATAGCTGAATCGAGAACTGACAATTTGTCCATTGTGGTAGCTGCTTCCAGATAGGTACCAATGAATTCCATGCGTTTCACTGTTTTGATGCTAGACGAGGAATGGAACTTTCCAGTACAAAATCTCAGCTCAGGTATAACCCTACATTATTTTACTGGAGTCCCTATCGCTATGTACGTATTCAAAGCTGGCGTGGACTCTGACGCTTTGACGTCGTCACCACAGACTCTCTTCTCATCCAGTGATCTGGCTGTCAAGCCACCGAACCCAGAGATCCATTCAGGAATTGGCCGATAGTAACGATTGATGGATTCATATGGACCCATCATTGACATTGCAGAGGCCGCTGCAACCCATGTCTTCACTTCATGCGTCGACGCACCAGCTATCTCAGTAACATACTGGTTCTCCACTTCGTCAACGGCCGATATCCTATTGTTGGCAATGGTATCAATAAAGTCTTGGTCCCATTCTGGAGCAAGGGTATGTAACGTGGTCTGGTCCAACACGAACTGCTTAGCTGCGTCAATAGTGCGATTTGTCCTCGCTTCCCGAGCTTCTGTTGAGAGGTTCTTTCCTGCCCCTAAGAGCAGACTTCGCACATCTTCACTAGCAGTAGAATATTCAGGTATTGGCGGCTGGTGAGATAATCCGCCGGAAGCTAGGAAGAGAACTCTTTTGTTCAACATCTTGCAGAAGCTCCCCACTGCCTTTCCCAGTATCCTAGCCCTTTTGAAAGTTGGCAAAGGCGAAGCAATGCAATTTATGAATATTGGTATGACGGGATATCTGTCAATTCCGCCGAGCAATAACCCCAGAGGTTGTGAAAATCCATGATCCACTTGCATTCCCTGTGAAGTCGCGATGTCCACACCATGGTCTATGCATAATTCGGCCAATTTAGTCGCCAGCTCCGATGCAGTGGATAGTGGTCCCTTTAAGGTGTTGAAATCGCCTATGGCGTGTGCCTCTATCCCCACACAAAATGACGGCATCACATCATGGAAGAAGCCATTATAGTGGTCAGGTGCGAATATGACAACAAGCTCTGGATCGAAGTCTTCAATCATTTGTCGGGCCTTTTCAGTGTAGTTCCTGATCTCTTCCACGACGGTCTCCGCAGGATTGACCAATCCTATCAGAGGTGTATGCGATAAACATTGCAGAAAGCCAGACATATTGAATGTATAGTAGATCGATAAACAAAGAAGCAATACTATTTCTTTCCGAATGGCAGACAGATTTGAATAGATTCAGGTTAAAAGCTGGTGACTTATCACTTGGCTTTTATGGCGACTCGGCTGTGGCATGATAACTGGAAAATGTGGTTTAACGACAGTACAAGGCGGGAAAAGTGGCTATTGCCCTACAGTCAGATCCCGGTCACATGTAAATAGCTTTATGTCTTCAAAAAACCTATCACAATGTCGTTGAATCTGTCGGCATGCTCCCATTGGGCCCAATGGCCGCACTTGTTGAACAAATGGACTTCTGAATTTGGAATCCCTGCTGCGAGTCGCAGTGCACCATCCACTGGCATGACACGATCCTGGCGACCCCAGATAATCAAGGTTTCCTTCTGAATGTCCGGAAGAATTGGAGTTACATCTGGAAATTGCTTAGAATTCAAAATAGAACTCTTCAGGAAATTCTCCAGATGGTCCTTTCTAGAAAGCATGTTTTCCAGACGTAGTTGTAACAGATCCTCTGTAAGTGCCGAGCTGTCGTACACGAAAATGTCGTTGAACTTTTTCAGGTTCTCCAAAGTGGGATTTCGATACAGTTCAGTGACACGCTTCATTCCTTCTGTTGGCATGGGTGCAAAAAGACTGACACCGCCTGTCCCACCACCCAAAAGAACGAGTTTACCAACATATTCGGGGTATTCCAGAGTAAAAGCAACAGAACTATGCCCGCCCATAGAGTTCCCTACCAAATGGACTTTGGAGAGACGAAGCTCATCGACGATAGCCTTTACAACTCGAGCGTTCAACGCTGCTCGAGATTCCGAATTGACAATTGAGTCACTTTTGCCCCAGCCAGGGAAATCAATGAGTAATACTCGATATCTGGCTTTAACAAGTGGTTCAACGTTCCTGTGGAAGTTGGCCCATCCAGAAGCGCCAGGACCGGACCCATGAAGCATTATGACTGTTTCTTCACCTTTACCACAATCGTTGTAGTGCACTTGCAAGATGGCTCCATTTTCATTAATTGTCACAAAACGACTCGTGTTTTCGGCAGTAATTGAAGTCATTGTACTCTTTTGGTCAATAACGTCGAAATTCCAGGGCACGCTTGGTGAATAATCCTTTTCTGGTAGACGTATAGGCATATTAAGTTAGCCCGGGAATCGCATGGGTGAGTGTAAAAGTGATTCCAATGAATATGGTGGATAGCTTTAGGACCACATTATCCCAAAAGCCTGGATTTCGTAGTTTTCCCGGTGGTATTGGTCGGGTTTTGGCTGTTCCCAAACTATGGCTGATAGAGTACTATACGATGTGATACAGCCAATACCAGCGTTCAAGGCTGTTACCGTCCGTAAGCACTAAGCGAATGACGGCATTTGATTGCCTAAGGCAGTGTTTCCAAGAAAACCAAACCACGAACCTTCCTGCAGGGATAATGTGGTGCCAAATTCAATGAGTACATAGAAACCTAGAATTACACAGAGATTGTATATATTATAGGCCATTTAAGTTAGCTACTCTAATTGTGGAATGATATGGCTGACGTTATCACACAAGCAGCGGAGGCTCTTAGGAGTGCTCAAAGCACTGGCAATTTCATTCGTCCTCTTCGGGAAACATTCAAAGAGCTTGATGCCGATGACGCCTACGCAATTCAAAAACATAACATTGATCTACAGGTTTCACAAGGTGCTCGAATTGTTGGATCTAAGATTGGTCTCACCTCACTTGCGGTACAAAGACAGATAGGTGTAGATCAGCCGGACTATGGGGTTCTATTGGACAATATGGAATGCCCTGAGGGTGTTCCAATTGCAATGTCTCGCCTTCAACAGCCGAAAATCGAAGCAGAAATTGCATTTATCCTTGGAAAGGATCTTGACTCTCCACGAACGACTGTCATAGATGTGATCCGGGGAATAGACTATGTTGTCCCCGCGCTAGAAATTGTGGGCAGTCGAATTGAAGGCTGGGATATTAGACTAGTCGACACGATTGCAGATAATGCATCTTCGTCAGGTTATGTTCTGGGCACACCTGTACGGAAGCTCGATGGTTTAGATCTGCGCAATTGCGCCATGACTATTTCAAGTGGATCATCGGAGGGAAGAGTGCTGTCTTCAGGAGCTGGTATGGCATGCCTAGGAAACCCTTTGAATGCAGTGGTATGGCTTTCCAGAGTCATGAATGAACGTGGCTTCCCTTTGAAAGCCGGTAGCGTTGTTCTATCTGGTGCATTGGGTCCGATGGTGGCTGTAGAGCCTGGGGAAACCTATAAAGCGCACATAGACGGACTGGGAGACGTAACAGCAGCTTTTGCTACCGATTGAAGTGACAATACTAGGCACAAATGATGGATATGATCTTGATTCTTGAAGGAAGGTGTTCTCAACCACATCTCGTCTGAAAATCTTTATATTATTTTCCAATATAAAACATTAAGAGCTCCGCCCAAAGATTGTCTCCAAGTAAGGAGAACACTAATCAATAGAGGACTACACAAATCACAATTTCGTGCCTGTATCCAGGCTAGAGATATAGTTCGGGATAACTATAGTTGTTGTCCTCGCATCCTCTAGTGTCACTGCTAACCAGTTATCGCACATGATCTCTCACAATCAGGAGCCCTGTTCAGCGTTACAGTAGTATTCTACTCCACTCTCCACGAAACTTCTTGTACGCTTTCATGGGTCCGTCCGAGGATGCTGGCATACAGCTCCGGTCTTCTGGCATTTCAATACCGAAACCCTCCGGCCAACTCCAATAATTCTTTCCCCAACCCCGCCCTCCATGTCTTCTCCGAGAGCGGTGCATTCGGCCAGAACATCGCCAAAGGGGTCGAGAATCGAGAAACAGCCGTTTTTGAGTTGGTCATTGTCCGTTGCGATAAGGGTTTTGAACACCTACATACACGGCGTTATCATACGCTCTAGCTGGCAGCCACTTCATAAGCCACTTTCGCCCCTTTAAACCATCGAACTCCGCACTGACGCTGGTTGGGTTGTTTTCTCGATTTTCCCAGAGTTTTGGATCCACAAGATCTGCTCCGGGACAGGTGGATGGAGTGCACATTGTCACATGCGGCATGAAAATGACATGCGGACCTAACAACGACATAGCTCGGACGTTCTCGATGATATGGTTGTCGTAGCAGGTTATTCATTGACGGGTTAGAGATGAGAGGAGATGGAAGGATGTAAATTGCGAGGTCGTGCCAGAATCTCACCTTTCGTGGAGGCGCAGATGTAAGTCTTGTTAGTATTTTGTGGTTGATTGATTACGAACTGTCTTTTTGTCGAAGCTTCGTCGACCTACGTCTTTATATAATCTCCCTCATGTACCGCAAGGAACGACAAGAGCACGATATAGTTCAAGGACCTAGTACTCAGGCACGAATCCTAAATCAATCATCTCAGCGATATTAGACACGTATTACCCTCAGTTTTCTGATGTCCGCTCTAATAGACAGGGTCCTATATCTATATAATACAGAAACTGTACGGGGATAGTAACTCCTGAATTTTACATTTCGTCACGGATTTAAATAGTTATTATATACCTTGATATTACGTAAGGCAACGCGCTTTATCGATGTCGCAGCGGAAGCCAAGACATGGCGGTGACGATCGTGGGACGTATATTTAAGCAGCATCTTACAATTCTTGCATAGTAATATAAATACTTATTGTTCCTAACTATAGGGACTAGAAGGCAGAGATCGGGAACTTAGTTGTGGTTATAGAGTAATTTTATAGTTACAACGCTTCCTTGTTAACCTGAAACTAGGAAATTAGAGACGAGGAATAGTAATGCCCCTACTTAATTAAAATACACTATAGTAATGTATAAGTCTAGGCACTACGTAATGAAACACCCTAGTAATGAAATACGCGTTTTTTTGCCACTAATAGTACTACAATTATGATTTACTAATTATATAGACTCATTAGCACTAAATTAATGTATAAATAGTACTAGGGTGTTATTTAACTACCTATTCCGCGTAGTATTTCTAGTATTCGGTCGTATAGAAGACCTCGTCGTCGTCTCCAATGCCTCCATTCCCTACCTAGCCTACCTAATTATCTCGATATTCGTAAAGACCTTATTATAGTCGATTACGATACGCGGTTATCTTCTAGCGACTAGCTTATCTAGTTACGTACGTTAAAGAGTAAGTTATTATAATTTTAGGGTAATATCTAAATATAGTCGATCTAATACCTTACCGGTTTTTTAAAGTAGTAAACGGACTAATCGAGAAACGGTCTTACGCCGTGAAATTAAGTTCGTTTCCTATCGAATTTAGCGTTAATTAAGTAGCGTACGAATCTCTATCGATAGATATCGATTTTATCTACGTAATAGCGGCGTAGTTAGTATTAATTAATTAATTTAGCTATTTTATAGTACTTAGTAAGATCGAATAA